TGTAAGCTGCTGATGCTCTACTTTACTCGTATCCCTTACAATCTGCTTCTGTGTGCTTTGTGATGCAAGAGCATAGTTTACCATCAGTCAAACCAGTTATTTATAATCTATATTAAATGAGAAAGTAAAACAAAGTTGTGGAGGTTCTAAAAGGGTTTAGGGAAATAAATGTTTTGTGAAAAGACCATTTAGCTCTTATTTTTTTGTAATTTTAGGTAATGGTATCGATACGTTAGGCATAAGTATCAATACTTTTCCTTTTTGGGCAAAGGTATCGATATTCACAAAGTGAGTATTGATACTTGTTCATCATAAAGCCTTTTTGGGTTTCAAGTATCAATATATGATTCAAAGGTATTGATACTTTCCTAACAGAGTGACATTGTGAGTTTAAAACAAGACCAATTGACTCTCATTATGTCCTATCTTTCAAATAGACTTAGTGGTTTCATAAAATGTGCATTTTCTAGGCTATGAACAATCAAAAATTTAAACAGAAAACATTTAATCTATGGCTCACCAAGTTAAGTTACATTGCTATTCTTAAATCGAAATTAGGGATTTCACATATTTGGTGCAGCATTGTTATATGATGAAACATGTGATACTTTTATGTGGTTGTTTGATTCATTTTTGAAAGCAATGTCAAGGAAAAAGCCGATTACTATTCTTACAAATTAGGATATTGCAATGATGAAAGCACTTACTTCACAATGGCCTAAAACATATCATCGTTTGTGTGAATAGCATATGTATCAAAATGCAACAAATCACCTCAATCATGCATGCAGGAGATTCAGTAGTTTTGTTAAAGATTTTAGTAGTTGTGTTTATGATCATGATGAAAAGAAAGATTTTCCAAATACATGGAATCATATGCTAGTGAAATACAATTTAAAGGACAATAATTGGTTACAAAGACAATTTGAGTTGAAGATGAAATAGGCTTTGGTTTATGGGTGACAAACTTTTTGTGCAGATATGTCCACTACTCAAAGAAGTGAGAGTATGTATAATCAAATAGAAAATTACATTAGTTATAATTATGATTTATTACATTTTCTCATCACTTTTGGAGACTATTGGTTGATAGATACTATGAGGATTACCTCCATAAAGAAAAGTGCCATTATCTCCAATTACTAACACCATTGGGGTATTAGAATCACGGCACCAATTGGGGCAAGGGGGCAAGGGATTTCCATTCTATAAGAATCTTTGCTTTTGAAGGTAATCCTCGTATCATTTATCAACCAATAATCTACGAAAGTGATGAAAAAAAATATAATAAAATATAATTATATCCAATGTAATTTTTTATTTAGTTATTCATACTCTCACTTCTTTGAGTAATGGATATATTTGCATAAAAAGTTTATAGTCCAGAAACCAAAGCCCATTTCTCTTTCAACTTAAATTTTCTTTGCAACCAACTATTGTCCTCCAACGTAATCATATGATCCCATGCATTTAGAAAAATCTTCTTCCTCTTCATCATAATCATAAACACAACTCCTAAAATCTTTAACAAAACTACTAAATCTCTCAAATGCATCATTGAGTTGTTTCGCTGTATTTTGATACATATGCCACACACATAAACGATGATATATTTCAAGTTATTGTGAAGCAAGTGCTTTTGTCATTGCAGCGTCTTGATCTATAATAATTGTCATTGGCTTTTTCTCTGACATTACTTTTAAAAATAAATAAAACAACCACATAAAAATATCACATGTTTCATCATATAACAATGATGCACCAAATATAGCACTTTGCTTAGGATGACTAACACTAACAAATAATGCAAAAAGTCTATCCTTTTTATTTTTTCTATATGTTGTATCGAAACATACCTCATCTCCAAAAGATTCATAATCTAATTCTTCCTGTCATTTATCCAAAAAATATTTGTGATGAAATCATCAAGATCAACCTATATAGCATAAAAAAAATTAGAGTCATCATGTTGCATATATTGTAAATACTCTAAGACATCATCAATATCTCCAACTTTCATTACTTCTTTTTTCTTAGAATGCAAGTAATTATTGTAGTTCTCAGGAATAAAACCAAGATTCTCAAGTCCACCAATTTTTCTTGCCAAAGACCCAACACTCTCCTTTGGTGCTATTTTGTAGCAATCAGCAATTTCAAGTTTAGCAACTTGAAGGTGATTAATTGCCCTTTGAGATCTTAGAAACATATACTTATGAGGAGAAGCTAATGTGTGTGTATGTTCTACAATAAAATTTGTAACACATAATTTACCATTGTATCGTAAAACTTTTAATACAACTAAGCACCCAAATCTTGTTTCTAAACAATGACCTCTAACATCATTATCTCTTTTATCCTTTATTTGAGTTCCTTAGCAAGAATAACCAAAATACCTATCTACCCAGTTACCATACTTATCCTTATGTCCTTTAGTTCTTTGAATACTAAATCCAACTTCTTTGGTATATCTATTGTAAAAATCATAAATATCTTGTTCCCTCTCAAATTCCATTCCAACTTTTGGAATAATTACTTCTAACATATTTGCATGAGCTAAAATCATAATATTAGTATTAGAATCAATCATGTTTGAACACTTATCTTGTTATAAATTTTGCTCATCTATTGGAATTCAATGGATAGGGTATATCATCTTCAGTAAATTTTAATTTTTTGCATAATTGATCTTTATTCATTGCATTTGTAATTTCTTTATCCATAACTTAAAAAATAAAAGATAATCAAATTTGGTAGTTGTCCTTGATAAACTAATATATTGATAAAAAAATTATATATCTGCAATTATTCTATCCCATCAATTGATGCTTAAGAGAAGAACATACTTAGATTGGATTTATTAATTACATGATAATAAACTACCTTTCAATTATTCAAGCAACAGCTAATGATCAAGAACATGTTTTTGAGGAATGAAACAAATCCTTTATAACAAATAAAAAAACAAAAGAAGACAAAGATTCAAATTAATATTACTTATACCAAGAAAACTGACGAGAAAAAAAAAAGTGTGGCTTAATTTGGTGGAGACCCACGTTTAAAGACCAACAAATGAATCTCATTAATTTTCGAAGTCCTTTGAAGAACCACGTTTCACAGTAAAAAGCTGTTGGAAACATACTTTTAATAAAAAGCTACACTAATTACTTTGCTGAAGATATACTTTTAATAAAAAGCTGCGGCTAATATGAATTTTTTTTTTTAAAAGGTAACCTAGTGCCGTTAATATTTAACACTGTTAAGTAACGTTCTATAACCCAATTAAAATTTAAAGAACACTTGGCATTAAATTAGGGAAGGGACACCAATGGGGCACCAACTAGGGCAGGGGATTTCGATTCACGATTTTCGTTCAAGTTTGTCAGATAAAAATCAAAGCGTAACTGAAGGAATCAGCATAGGGCAAATATTGGAATACAAGAAATTATTGCTCCACCTAGGAAAAGTTTAAGTGACCTCTCATTTGTGACCATGCACAAATAACTCTGTCAGAAAGAAACAAAACTTACCTGGACATACTCATCAATCTGTTTGTCATTTTCCTAAAATATGATGCAATAAATAAGTTACCATAGTATTCCTGAGTCTCTCTCAATTTATACTAAACCAGACCAGACCAGACCTTCATCACCAAAATTTCAGAGAAAAAGGCGTAGCGAATGGCCTCTGCAAGTTTTCGTTTCTTGACCTTGGCAATCTTGGTGATTGCTGGAACCCTGGTTTGCGCAAACCACGGGGTTTCAGCTCAGTGCCAAACTAGTATTCCGAGCCTTATATCCCAATGCTCCAAATATGTTAAAGCTTCAGGGCCAGAAATCCCTCCATCCCAGGGTTGCTGTGATGTGATAAAAGATGTCGACATTCCATGCCTTTGCAAGCTTGTTACACCAGAGGTGGAGAAGCTTGTTAGTATGAAGAAGGTGGTCTTTGTAGCTCGAACCTGTGGCTTGACTGTTCAGCCTGGAATGAAATGTGGAAGTAAGATTTATCATTAGATTATTCGAAAATTCCCATGATTATGTTTTACGTTCTTCCAGCGATTATTATTTTGAATTAATTTTTGTTTTTCTCGTACTTATTTATTTGTTTTGTGTGATTGTTTTAGGTTTCACTGTTCCACCTGCTTGAGGTGCTGCAAAAAATAAACGAGAGCTGATGAGAGTTGTGAACTCGATTAGCATAATGAACATGAATAAATAATGTTTGTGGCGTATATTGCATTTATGCCATTTATGCTAGTTTTTACATAAAAGTTTCAGTTTTCTCAAAGCTGAAGCCAATGAAGATTTTGTTTGGTTTTCTACTATTATTCTATCTCTCTCTCCTTTTTTTGTCCTTTGGTTTGATATTTGAAGATAGAAATACAAAGGGAAGCAAGATAGTTAATTATAAACAAAATTGAACAATTAAAAGCACATTTGTATGTGTCATTTATATTTATTTTTTTACTCAATCAACAATTGATTTTATTAATATAAAAGATCTTTAACAAATATATAATCATTAATCAAAACGTGAAAGTCACACTTGATCATATAACGTCATAGGAATAAACCACTTTAATATCTAAATTACGAAGACATAAGCCCTGCAAGGTAATCATGAAAAATAACCGAATAATACATTCAAACCGAGACTACAAACTTGAAAGTAAAATTATTATATTTATTTTAATTTTTCCATTTGCATCCGGCTAATTTTTAACCTTACTCAGAATCAATGGATTGTCTGTCTTATATAAAAGCTTTAATTTGTGTGAAATTCACCCAAGGGGTATGAATTCTTGGGAAATTAAGGTTTACTTTGAATACCCATGACCAAAAGAACTCATGCTTGTCACCCATGACCCTTTTGAAAAGTTTAACGCATCATCCGTCTGTTAAAAAATTCCAAGGAATTTGTCACATCCGTTCATGTGTTTTTCATCCACGTGGCATGTGTGTGTATTTTTAATTTCTATGTTAGTACATTACTTCATCATATAAAAGTTGTTCTTTGAAAGCATAATAAAAAAATTTTAATTATTTAAGAAAATTTAAATAAGTTTTTCTTTTATTTTATTCAATCAAGTTTTTATATTTTTATTTTTTAAGTCAAATAAGCATTTATACTCTTATTTTGAACCAAATTAATTTTTATAAATAATAGTTGACTTAATCAAAATACCTTTAGTCATTTTATATCATATAGAGCTAAAGTGACATATTAAAATGTCATCATTAATTATGATATGTTAACAAGTGATTTTTTTTCCTTTAACATCAATATCACATTAATGTCATGTGGATATAAAATGATAAATGATATTTTAATTAATAAAAATTAATCAATAATTAGTTATAAGGGTTTATTTGATCTAAAATAAAAATATAAGGATTTGATTGAATACAATAAAAAATTAAGAGATTATTTGAATTTTTTTAATTAATTTAAAGACTTTTTCAAACATTATGCCTTTTTTTGAAAATGTTTGATTAATTTATTATTTCATGACACTTGGTAAAATTTGATTGACACACAACAATATAGCTAGAAACTTCCTTCTCTCACAAGATGTAAGGTCTAGATTTAAATTATTAATACTATTTCTATCGAAAGATATATGTGTCTATATATATATATATATATATATATGTAAATGAGAGATGAATTTTTTAACATTAAAGATGTGCTTTTGAAAATAATTTTTTTTTAATTTTAACTATTTTTAATTAAGAAAAAAAATTTTTGAACAAAATTACTCTTAATGAAACTTCCTCATATTCAATGACACAGAGGTACAAAAGCAAATATCAAAAAATTTAAATTATAAAAAAATATAGAAAGATGAAAAAGAAGAAAAAAGAGTTATCATCATAATCATCCTCTCACACATACAAACAAACAATTGAAGAAAAAGAAAAAAAGATGTGGAGAAAAAGTTATTGTGGTTTTCAACGAGTCTTTGTTTTTTTTCTCTTCTTCTTTTGTTGGTGGGGTTGCTATGTAAGGATCCCAAAGCCTTAATAGCTGCAACCTTAAGGATATACCGGTGGTATGCAAGTGCTACGGGAGCTCCAACAAAAAGACCAACCTAGAAAATTAAAAAAAAAAAGTTATTATACTCTATGTTAAAAAAAATATATTGTTATTCCTTATGTTTAAGGTGTTTAATTCTAAGAGTTTATATTTTAATAAAATACAAAGATAAAGATCAAGTTACATGTCATGTTTAAAAAATAATATTGTTACACACCATGTTCAAAAAAATATTATTATACACCATGTTGAAAAAAAAAATTGTTGCATACCATCTTCAAGGTGTTTAACTCCAAAGGTTTATATCTTAATGAAATACAAAAATAAAGATCAAGTTACAAGTCATGTTGAAAAAAAATTTGTTACATGCCATAATGAAAAAAAAAATTATTACACATCATGTTTAATGTGTTTAAATCTAAGAATTTATGTCCTAATGAAATACAAAGATAAAGACCACACGCCATATTGAAAAAAAAATTGTTACATGTCATGTTGAAGAAAAAAATATTACACGTTATGTTTAAAGTGTTTAACTCCAATAGTTTATGTCCTAATGAAATACAAAGATAGAAACTAAGTTACACACCATATTAAAAAAAATTGTTACATGAGATGTTGAAAAAAGTTATTATAGGTGTTTAACTCTGAAAGTTTATGTCATAGTAAAATACAAAGATAGAGATTAAGTTACATGTCATGTTTAAACCATGCCATATTCAATAGATTTGTTACACACCAAGTGCATTAGAGTGGTTACATTTAGGCATGGTATGTAACAACTCTGGGTAATGTTCTAATTTATAGATTTCACTTATATAACTTCAACCCATCAACTTTAAGGTTCTGTGAATGTAAATTAATAAATCCAAGAAAATATATTGATGTCATCTTTGCTCTTCGGTTTGTAAATCAATGACGATATGGCAAGAAATGGATAGAGAAAGATAGGGATGATGTTAAAATTAGAGAGAGATGCATGGTAGGAAAGAGAAATCAAGAGCATTGCAAATAAATGTAAGAAAGAGAAATTGATAAAATTAAAGAGAGCTAAATGGCAAGTGAAAGAAATTGGGAACACAGTAGACAAATGTCGAAGAGAGAAATCAAGAAGAGAAATTGTGATAAATGGTTTTATTCATCTAAAATGGCTTCAAGGGTATTTTTATTAAACCATGAAAAAATCGAATAAAAACAAATAACTTTATATTAAAGGCTATTTTTAAAGTGGTCTTACAAAGTTGACCATTTCTCACAATTTCCTCTATAAATGACTAATAATTGTGTTATATAGAGTTATTTTTAACACATTTTGAAGACTTTAGTGGCTAGACCTTGAGTTCAAGATTGGATTTTAACCTTTTAAGTTGTTTTTTTATTCTAAGTTAGATTACATATTGAATAATTACATTAGTTGGTGTTAGTTTAATTTAACTTTATTTTATCTTAATTTACTTTAGGAAAAGTTACTGCTGATTTGTCGCATGGTTTTGTGCAAAATATGTTGAGCAAGTTGAAAGAAAGTTATAATAGCATAAGTGTGGTAAAGCTGTCACTCGTATATATTGCAATAATTTAAAGATAACTTGAGCTACAGAAATTCAATTGATGTGATTGTTAATTCATTGGAAAGTAAGAGAATGGGTTACAACTTTTATTTTAACCACTTTATCCAGTTTGAACCAGATCAAGTTGAAAATTATGTTCAAAGTTGATAGATAGATGTAGTTCTACACTTCATGCATCATGGCTAAAGCGTCACGAACACAAAGAATCATGGCTGCAGCATTGAAAGTGAAACCGTTGCAGTGTCAAAGAACTATGGCCACAACGTTGAGCATCATGGGAGCATCATACAAATACCTGAGAGCACAATGTTGCGGCACTGAAAAAGTAGCTTCGCGACGTTACCAAGGAAGACCACGGTGCCACAACGTTAAAATCATAGCCATGGTGCCACCCAGATTTTCAAAAATATACCTTCGATGGAAAATTGGAAAATAAGGCACCTTGCACCTATTAAAGAGCCTTTTTGGAGATCATTCGAGGGAGAGACGACAACATCTTTTTTGGAGAATTGGAGCTACAAATCAAGTAAGAATTCAAGAGCAATTGATAGAGTTTCAAAATTTACCAGGATTCAACATTAGTTTCTTTCTCCCTTTTATGTTCTCTTATTTTCTTTGACTTGATTTCATAACTAAATTTCTTTGGATATTATTTTTATTAGATATTATAAGTTAAACTATTTTTCTAAGATTGTAGTGGATTTCAACAAATAGTCTGATATTAGTTTCTCTTTTATTTACCATGAATGGTATAGTTTTGTTTATTCAAATCTGTTCTTAATACTTTTAATTATTTAGTCAACAATTAATTGATTTGTGAATCTAATTAAGACTCAACAAAGAGATTCTAGATTAGATTAAGGTTTGAATAGTGTATATTCACGTCACTTAAATGACATAATTCGTGATTCAGATAGACATATGCCAATTGCCATACGTGACCAAATTAGAATATTAGCTTAATGAACCTTATTTAATTGATTCTTATAAATATATAGTGACCCAATTAAGTTAGGTATTTATGTAAGCATCTCGACATAAACTTGTACATAACTTTGGATTCTAGATTAGTAGAATTACCCAAGAACGTAAATAATAAGAAAAGCTGGTATCAGATGAAATGTTAAATAAACTCATAATCCTAGGTTTTGATTTATTACCTTTTCCAAGTAATTTTAAATTTTGTTGATTAATTTAGTGCTTGTTTTTATTTTATTTTAATTAATTTTTTAAAAATTTATGTATTTAAATAAAACTAATTTGTCAAAAATTTTAATACTTAGTAAAGATTTAGGAATAAATATCCGTAAAAACAATACTCTACTTCATCACTATATTACTTGTTCGATACATATATTTATATGTACAAAATCGACAATAATAACTTGGTATATGTCACAAGAAATGTAATAAGAAAAACGATTAAGGTCATGCATGCATGCCGTTCGAATAGAGCCCTAATTCTCTCGTCTCTGTCTAACCTTGTGATTACAATGAAATGCAGGTTGTCCTTTCCACAGTTCATAAATCTTTTTATAGGCC